ATTTTCAGCAGAAAATTGCTCAAACTTAGTCAGAATCATCTTGGGTAAATGAGAGTTTTACTTTGTAAAATTAGGATTCCTGCCCCATCCCCAGGGGCTAGAGCGGGGCCCCAAAGGGAACATTTACCAATATTTTCAAATTCTTATCCATTGATGACATGACAAGTATTGTATTTCACTTAGTTTACATGCTGATTTCCACATCACATCTAAACAATAAAATAAAGCTACCAATATCTATGATATAACTCAGGTGACTGCTAAGGCCCTTGGGCCTCTTGTAATTAAGTAAGTAGTATGCTGGGACATCACTTGACACAGAAACTTGACTGATCTAGGCTGGGATAATTAGGTTATTATTAACAGAAACTTGACTGATCTAGGCTGGGATAATTAGGATATTCGTAACAGAAACTTGACTGCTCTAGGCTGGGATCATTAGGATATTCGTAACAGAAACTTGACTGCTCTAGGCTGGGATCATTAGGATATTCGTAACAGAAACTTTACTGATCTAGGCTGGGATAATTACGATATTCGTAACACAAACTTGACTGATCTAGGCCGGGATAATTAGGTTATTATTAACAGAAACTTGAATGATCTAGGCTGGGATAATTACGATATTCGTAACACAAACTTGACTGATCTAGGCTGGGATAATTAGGATATTCGTAACAGAACTTGTAGCAGTGGAAAAAGGAATCATTACATTAATCGTGTGTGCTTGCATGGACTTTGTTGTTAATATAAATTGTGAATTATTGTAAAAACTGTATTATGATTGATTTAGACTGGAATAATCCTTTTATACAGCGTTTACTTCTGAACTGAATCATTGGAGAAAGTAACTGTTACAACTAATTTGTTATTAGATTCCCCACCACTATCAGAACTCCCTTTTATAATCTGTCTTAGACCTCAGCTGTTCTGAGGATGTAAAACCACTAACCATTATGATTCTGGTTTAGTTTGTTGTTCTGGTTACCATTTAGTTTTGAATGTGAACTGAGAACTTACTGAAGATGCAGCAGTTTATTTTAATTCTAACAAAATATGAAGCAGCTGCATGGAAGAGTCGGAACAAAATCTCCTCAATTCATATACAAATAATGTTAATATTGAAGTAGTCTTTTCAGTCATTTAGCTCACTGCTAATCGACAAGAAATCTAAAACACTTCAGTTTTTGAGATACATAATAGTTTAAACTACAATTTTTCTATTTTCTTAAATGACTTATGCATCCTATAGACCACTTTTTCTCTGAAAAAAAGAATACTGTGGCTATTTGAGATAATTTGATAAATATATTCAAAAGCCACAAGAATCCACAGTAAATGTAGCTTGTCAAAATTATCCATGATTGATGATCCATAATGAATGCTGATTAATCTGTCCAGAGATATTGTATGAAATAACACTGAACTGATTTTACAGCCTGAGAAGATCCAGGGTCATAAGAAAAAGACAGATGAAGCATCTCCGGATGAGGCTGAAGAGAAGGCAGAAGAGGAAGGAGAGAAAGAGGAGGAAGGTGAGGATGTTGGACCAGGGGGAGACAACCCAACAGTAACCAAGAAGTCCAAGGCAGATCTTGAGGCAGATGAGGTACAAAACACTTTATTAATGTTAAGTCATAAAAAATCAAAATGGTTTTAGAATCTGAAGTTAATAAGAAAGATTAATAAAAATTTGATGGTGCTCTGAAAATAAATCTGCAAACTACTTTTCTACCTTATCAAAGGCAGCCTAGATGCCACCCCACCTCCTTTCACTGTTAGAAGGATTTCAAATATGTAAAGGTAAATGTGATTTTTGTTTTATTGGTACGCTGCAGTATATTTAACAAATTGACTTGAAAGTGTGAGATATGATACTCTGTACAAATGTAATATTTGCCCACAGACAAATGATGCAGATGAGGAAGATGAAGAGGAAACGGAGGAAGCTGAAGATAAATCCAAAAATGTAGATTCACCTAGGTAAGCTTGGTCCTATTTGTGTGTCACTTACCTTGGTACCTTCATTAAGAAGATACCCAGATGAGTCGGCCTCCTGGCTGGAATAGATCAACAGCTGTTAACTTTGATTTATAAAAAGTAGCAATTTGATATGAATTTAAAATAATGTTTGTCCTAACTCAAATAGATAATTCAGTCTAAACACTAGCACCTTGTTGCTTTTCCATTCAAAATTCAACGCAACATCAGACCTTGAATTGCTATTAAAATAAACAGCCATTGAAATAAATTTGATTTTGATAATTGAAAATGTACTTGGAAGTAATAAGAAGTTTTGTGATTCTGGATCTGACGGTACACATGGATATTAACTGATAATGAGGTGCTTATTTTATATTGCAAGGGTTAGGAAAATCTATATGATGCCTTATGAAAGATACTTCATGGTTATGCACTTCATAGATATTTGCAACAATAAAAATGAAAATTATGATTTTCTTTTCCTTGTAGGAGATCATCACCAAGAAAGAGGAAACCTAGGAAAGATTAATTCAACAATGAAATAGGTTTACATAAAAAGAGACTTGGGTAGTGATAAGTTATGGATGTTCGGAGTATTTGATAATGTGTGCAAGTTGTTCAGGAAGGATTTGTAGAGGATTTGTATGTTAAGAAATGTAGAGGCCCTAATCCTAACAATGCTGTTCCCTTAGGAATGATCCTCATGGATGTCCATAAAGGCCTTTTTCCTACAGTCCCCCAGGGGCTGTTGGTCAGGCTCTAAAAAAATAAACAGTGATATTGAAATAGTTCTAGAATTCAATTAGGATTTTTGTGTTTAATTAAAATCTGTTTTAAGGATCCCCGTATCACTGCCAGCCAAAATTTGAAACTATGCGTACAAAACTTATTTTTTCGGCATGACTATAGCTTTGATAAATCATTTTTGAAAAGAAACATTACCTTGCAGGGCTTTTAATGAAAACATGATGGAGATGAAATAAACAAAATAAAATTAACAAACATGTTTTGAGTGTAAAATATTCTGCATGGTCAGACTTGCTATTGAACCCTGGACTAAAGATAAAGATTATTACACTACAGCGGAAGCCGATGGAACTACCTGGACAAAGGAAGTGTATGGGCTCAAATGTGCTACAGTTACATCCAAATGGAAGTTAGTGGGAGGTTACTATTTATAGGAAAAACGGAAGTGCAGTAGGAAAGGGATCCTTAAGTAATATTAAAATCAAAAACACATCTATGAAACCTTTAAGTTTGATATTCTCTATTTACGTCATAGTGTCATTGTAAAGCTCAGGTGTAGTGAAATTCACAGAGAAGATGGTTACAATAAACACTGGTTATAAAAAAAAAATGTTTTAAATGATCATGATTTGGCAATGTATATGATAGCACTTCTGTGCAGACAAAACATTGCTCCACAATGTTTGGGAGAGTGGACATATTATATTTATGTGATGTGTCAGCTAATTTGATGTGTATATGGACACAAGGAGGTATTTTGCAAGGATAGTTTTGTTTTTAATTTGCTGACTGGTACAAATGTTATTCATGTTCATGTGTTCAAAACAGTCTCCATGTGCTTTAGGCTCACATGTGAATACAGTCCAAGTGTGCTTTATTGTTAATGTGTATAAAATAGTATTGCCTCATTGACCACAGATATATTTCAGGGTTATGGTTGCTACAGATATGAACGTTAAAAAATATTCAGCATACTTGAAATCCAAGGATTCCCTTTTCAATGCACATATCTCTGACGGATTGCTAGGCTGATAACCTGTCCTTTGAAGATTACAGAGGAGCAACACCCAAATTCAAAGCCTGTAAATTTTACCGTAACGCTGCAGCGTCATTCCTTTGATCTTCTTTAAAGACATCAGATTTGTCTACCTGTGTCATCTGCAAGGTCTTGCAAAAAGAGCCTTCGGTTTTGTCATGTGTATTCTAAGGGTGCAAAGAAGAAATGTGTATCAAGAATGGAATCTTTGGATTCCGAGTGAGCTACTTGACATATGTATATGAAGGTGATGGTTGGGTTTTTGTACATCTGTGCTTGAGGCAGTCGGAGTGAGAGCTACAAGTTAGAGTCAGACCTAGTGGTCTGTCCACCTGTCTCGTGAACCACTGCTTTCCCCAAGAAAGGGATTGTACACCTACCCCTCTCTAGTTTTTAATTTCTGCCCATGCAACATTACAAAATGACCCTCACTTTTTCTTACCCTGAGAAATCACTAATAACGGAAAACTGATTTCTTTTGTAACCTTGGTTATGATTAGAACATTGTTTTTACTGTTTGTGAAAGTATTTTTCTTCCATTTCTTGTCTCAAAGGCAGTAAAAATAAATTAATCTTTGAACAGATGGTTTTCTTTGCCAGCCGATGTGCTTTAGTTCATGAGGATAGTAAGAGTAGACAGACCGGGGCCGATATTCACGAGAATGCATCCATGAGTTCACTGTTTTACTATGTTCTGTGTAGCTGTGTGTAGTTACTGATCTGTGAACGTGTGTGTTGTTGCTGGTATGGGTGCATGTCCTAGTTATGATCTCATCTACTTGTCATGTGAAGTTTACATCTAAATGCACCAAAGTATAAATTGTACACGTGTAAATGTGTCCCTGTGTAGTTAATTTATTCGTTCAACGTAAAGATATTGTTATATTGCTCATGACAGCACCGCTCTATGCCTACAACACAGGCTCAAGAAACCTCTCTAAAATATCACATCCACTTGTGCTTCACTATCATTGTGTAAGTGTTCTGTCTTTAATTCACGGTGTATAATGTAGCAATTTGCAAGTAAAGTATCCACACTAATTTTGGTACAGTATTATGATAGACATATACCTGAAAGTTTCTGTTACTAAGGTCTTTTCTTACCATTAAGGAAGAAAGCTTTTGAATGTGATGCAATGCATGGAAGAATGTATCCAAGTTTGTGTGAAGGTTAGTAAGTAACGTTCTTGTGTTTCGTTATGTTAACCATATTTTTATCCAGACATTTTTTGTACTTTGTATAAAATGTGCATCATATTATGATGTTGTAGGTGTACAGACCTGATTCGTTACATTTGATTCCACCAGGGCCTGTTTAAACCTATTTGTAATCCAATTGAGTATATGATTTATATGTTGTTGCATTGATGTTTTGGCAAACACATTCACTGTTTCCTTTTTTTACATTTTATGTATTTTATAATCAATATTTAAACAAGACTAATTTTTCATTGTCGAAGTATAAATCATTATTAAAGGGTTTTGTGTTCTTTCCATGATCCTCCTGCAATAATTGCCCTATTTTGAATCGAGATAATTTCCCTGTTTTTATATTTCTGCCATCACAGTCAAGGATAATTGTACAGGTTATGTTGATTTTCTTTGCCAATGTACCTTTTAGAGTGTACCTGTTATATGTGAGGTGTTTAAAAATTCATGTGTAAAACAAAACAGAGTTTAAGTCATAAGTACAAAAACAAAACCAGTTAGTTAAGTTTCATGATACGTTTTCATTTTTCCTTGCGTTACTTAATATTGAATCTTATAATGGATACCTTCAATGGTTACATGTAATGTTTTTATCATATTAGTTACTTGTGTACAATTTGACCCTTTTACCCCTGTGCAACTTTAGTAGACTCTACTATGCATTGATCTGGATGAGTCCATTATGGTCTACAGTGGTGAAAAGGTTAAAAGCATTCTCATCCTGTAACATGTCATATTGTGTATCATCATAGGGTCAGATCTGTTGACTGGGGTGGGCTTGTAGCTGACAAGTCGGAATATCATAGCATGCATACCCTCTTCTTACCTCATACACAGTTTGGCATTTGTAGAGTAAACTTTATGATATTTACAGACTGTTGGGGCTCCAATGTGTTATATAATACAAGACAACTCCATATGAAATATTTAACATCTAGTCGAACATGTTCATAAATAGTTTGTGTTTTTCTATAATGTGTTTGCTGTGTACATTATGTACCTGGTGCGATGATTAAGAATGATTTATTTTCACATTTTTAAGATTTGTTCAGCTTGAGGTCTTGAGTTAAATAGTTAGATGGTTTTACTCTCTGTTTTCGTTTGTTGCATTACAATTATTTTAACAGAATGTAACTAGAAAAATAAATATAAGGTTGATAAATATGTAATCAGATAAAGTATCCCGTTTTTGTTTCTCGACCTGAAGTGGAGATTACATGGTTGGAAATTCCTGACACACAATACAATAGGAGGATTATTTGCATTACTAGGTTTGTAGCACAGAAGTAATTTCTTTTATATAATGCCTGAATGGTTACCAGGAAATATAAAAAATTGAGAAGAAATCTTATATACAGTGTTATTTTATTAATGGAATTCGAAAACATTCCATAATCACTCTCAAAAAGGATAGGAATGATTTGTTTGAATCATTTAATGCTGAACTAGTATTAAGTTACACAATAGAATAGCTAACATAAGGGTATGTTTGTAGGACCAAGTTACAAACAGTTGTAATAATGTGAACCTGTTATTATGATTATTGAATGGTGTACATGGCCCTGATCTTGTAGAATATGATAAAAGATGATATAGTCAATGTTGAGAGGTAGACAAAACAAAGTGTAAAATGCAAATAGAGTAGATTCTACATCACGTAAATATAGACTTCTTATTTTGTTCAAATGTATGTTTGATTAAGTGTTTGCCATCATTGAATACCATGAACTTACGATATGTTATAGCTTAAAGTTAAACTTTTTTCTATATTTCAACCACAATTTCTCAAAATTGGGTAATATTTGATTGGATAAGTTTGACCAAGACAAATTATACAAAGTAAATTGACAAAAAGTCTTCCTATTTTGGTCAAAATAAGTATGAATACTAAGTATAACCGTGTAACCTGGAATACATAGTAGGGATGGAGAACTTCTCTTTGGCATTGTGACATAGCGTTCTGATGTAAATAACTTAAACAACCAGTTATTATTTATTCTCCAATTTTCAGATCCAATGAAAAATGTATCTGTCTCAATTTAGATTTTCCCCCTGAAATTTTCGATCGAAAGAATGGGTGGCTGTAACCACTGCTGAAGTTGTCCATCCTTACATGTATTGAGCTATAGAAATATCCCAAATCAGTAACTTAAATATATAGGTTATCAATCTGAAATAAAGTAATTTCTATTGGTAACAAGTGTTTCTCTTTTTATTTGCCCATCTTTGACAGGAAGTTTTACGGTTTGGTGTTGTCAAGCTTGGCTTCTTTCAGCTATTTTCACCAAGCTTCATCCATTTTTGTTTCTTGGTAAAGTCGCAGACTGAAATTGGGTCGGAGAGGGGGCACAACCTCTTAGAGTTATGACCCTTGTGATTTTTGTTTTTATTGTTGCAACATTTTTAGCTCGTCTATTCGAAGAATAGGGGGGCTAAGGTAGTTACCCCGGCGTTGGCGTCCGGGAACCTTCAGAGGTTAAAGTTTTGGTGCAAGTTTTTTCCAAACAGTGTTGGATCATCACACTCAATACACAGTTGTCTATCATTTATATCGAGTGTAAGCAATGTGCTGGACCATATTTTTTATATTTTATGGCCCCAAAACAGCTTAATTGGACTTTGTTAAATTTGAGGTTAAAGTTTTTGGGCAAGTTTTTTTGTAAAGTGTTGGACAACCCCCATCAATAGGCTGTTGTCTATTATAAGGTTGAAGCATTTATATGGAGTGTTAGCAATGTTCTGGGCAATATTTTCATATTTTATGGCCCCAAAACAGCTTAATTGGACTTGGTTAATGTTTTGGGGTAAGCTTGAGGTTAAAGTTTTTGGGCAAGTTTTTTTGTAAAGTGTTGGACAACCCCCATCAATAGGCTGTTGTCTATTATAAGGTTGAAGCATTTATATGGAGTGTTAGCAATGTTCTGGGCAATATTTTCATATTTTATGGCCCCAAAACAGCTTAATTGGACTTGGTTAATGTTTTGGGGTAAGCTTGAGGTTAAAGTTTTTGGGCAAGTTTTTTTGTAAAGTGTTGGACAACCCCCATCAATAGGCTGTTGTCTATTATAAGGTTGAAGCATTTATATGGAGTGTTAGCAATGTTCTGGGCAATATTTTCATATTTTATGGCCCCAAAACAGCTTAATTGGACTTGGTTAATGTTTTGGGGTAAGCTTGAGGTTAAAGTTTTTGGGCAAGTTTTTTTGTAAAGTGTTGGACAACCCCCATCAATAGGCTGTTGTCTATTATAAGGTTGAAGCATTTATATGGAGTGTTAGCAATGTTCTGGGCAATATTTTCATATTTTATGGCCCCAAAACAGCTTAATTGGACTTGGTTAATGTTTTGGGGTAAGCTTGAGGTTAAAGTTTTTGGGCAAGTTTTGTTGGGTAGTGTTGGACCACCACCATCAATAGGCTGTTGTCTATCATAAAGTTGAAGTATTTGTATTGAGTGTAAGCAATGTGTTGAACCATATTTTCGCGTCCAAAAACAGCTTTATTGCACTTTGTTAATTTCTTAACAATCCCTTCTCATAGATGTTTCTGCACATTTAACAGTCCTTGAAATATCCTGGTGGTAAGTGAGGTGGCAAATAAAACGACAGGCACTATATCAACATTTTACTATACATGTGTTTCTATCGATAGTTGCAGTATTATAATAACATACATAGGCGAGCTATGCTGTTCTCCGACAGCTCTTGTTTTAATATGATAACATGTTGGGACATGCATTGCTGTGATTTGATACTAATTTAAACATGATCACGAGGTTGCAAATCCAATATCACTACTCGACACTCCCTAATCCAATATCACTACTCGACACTCCCTAATCCAATATCACTACTCGACGCTCCCTAATCCAATACACTACTGGACGCTCCCTAATCCAATACACTACTGGACACTTCCTAATCCAATATCACTACTCGACACTCCCTAATCCAATATCACTACTCGACACTCCCTAATCCAATATCACTACTCAACACTCCCTAATCCAATATCACTACTCGACACTCCCTGGTGCTATTCACACCCACGTTTGTTGAGGAAATGTGCAAACTATCAGAATTATAGCATTACAATGAAATGACATGTTACCCCCCATACCATGGAACTACATAACCAAAAATGTGGAATGTTGCTCAATACCTCGACCTGATATGATACACACCAACGAAGTTTGAATGGAGAAGCTCAATCATTCAGAAGTTATGACTCTGTAAGCTTTAAAATGGTTCGACCTTTTAACCCATGCCGTTGGATCAAGAATCACATCAAAATGTCAAAAGTATATCGCCGTGTGAATGCTACAGCACAGATACAACAGCCTCCACCCCAGACCATTTTATACTCCACCTAGGTTGTTGGGAGTTGTGTGGACAGGAGAAAAACACTTTCCCTGAATTTTGCATTCGTACGACAACCTCGGGGATCAAACCCTGTGTGGAAGGCCAAAGTGTTAACCACTCGGCCAGTCCGCCCATATACACTACAGTGACGACACGCGTTCACATCATTTTTAGTGAAAATTGGACAGTATCTTAATTTCGACCAATCGACATCCACCAGAAAGTTAAGGATAACGATGCTGTAGCTATTACCATGCAAATACATGGGGAAAAAATCAAACAAAAACCAGAGCTGTAAGGCGACCGTTTCTGATGTTTAATTGAAAAAGCATGACCATTTAGGGAAGTAGGAACCGCGGTTGACACCAAATCTCACCTAGCATACATCCAACACGTGCACGTTACCTTTATATATATATATATAGGAAAATACCAAACGTATGCTAAGTGAGACAACACCGGAACCGCTAATTTTCGTTAAGTACAGACAAGTTTGAAATTTTGACAAATCAGAATTATTAACACATTCCTTACAGATTAAAGGTTACACGGTGGCCTTTAGAAAGGCGCCGATACGATCTTGAATTCCGGAGGGTAATTATTAATAAAAACAGGAATATGCCTGTTTATCAGTACATCAAATATGTATGGCTGCATGAGGATAATAATGTTCGGAAAAAATCTATATAAAGTCTAACACCTTAATACGAAATACATTATTGACACATAACAATAGAGTGCTATCAATTAACAGCAGTACAGGTACGTTTGTGGCGTAGGGTATTTGGTCTGGGACTCATTTTTGTGTGTTCATATATCTATAGAAAAGACTAGTGGTCTTGGTCCCGACAAGGAAAAGTTCATGGCCGTTAATTACCACATCATAAACCTCGTCAAAGAAGGACATAAAACAATAACAAAAACACTTTTCTTTTAGAAAGTCGTCAACAATGTGCTGGATGTAAATGATGGATGATATGGTAGATATGATCTGGAAACACTGAAGATTAGTTGTCGATGAAAACAAGTGTGTAGGTTTAGCATCCAATAACATTCTAGTTGAGATACTTACATCAAATATGGATGGTTATATGAAACATAAATCTATTATTCTGATAGATTCTATATTAGGTGTGGATACGGATGGATATCAATTAAAATCAATTTACGTTGACAGTACAGGTAAGATTCGCCAGAGGTAAGCGTTCGTATCGTCAAAATAAACGGTCGGCCGTGTGACAATGTCAAACCTTGGTGCGACAGATATATTCCATATATTTAGCTCACCATCATCCGATTATTATTCAAACCACCCGTCGTCTGTCCTTAAACAATTCAATGTCCCCCCTGGTCTGTTTTTGTTCATGTCTACTTTTGAGACTGATCGGGTGAACAAAACGGCCGAAAGGTGGCCATCTTTGATTTTAACAGTGAATATTTGTTATCGCTATATCTCAGAAAGTTTACTTTGGAGAGGGATCATAGAAACAAGTTGGCTACATGAAGTACTAATGAGATCCTTCTTATATTTTTATGATTGGATCTATTTCTCGAACATTTAAAGAACTGTACTAGTACTGTTTACAAGAAGAGAAAAGATCAAACTGACGAAGGTTCAATGGTAGGCGCCAATATCCCTCTGGGATCTCTTGTTGTACATATGCTAATTCGATGTTCGCATACAAAAACATCGATTTTGCCATACATATATTGCCCACATAATAAACAAATATCTTTGCATAAACATCTCATTGCTCTTTTTTTTTGTGACGCACTTGCCATATCGTAAACTGACCTCTACAGCACGACACTTCATCCGGTATCATAATTCTAAAAACGGTGCCTATGGACATGGCATCCTTCTATTTGTAAATATACTATTTCGAAATTTCTAAACTGTTGTTACTATACTGCAGGTAAAAAACCTTCACCTGCAGATAGAATTAAGAAAAAGGAGTATAAAACAAATGAATTTATGTAATTCACAATTTACAGTGAAATTATTTTAACATTATGTATTAAAAAGAAAACAAAACAGATCTAAGGAGTAACGACGAAAGGTTGCACCCTAGGAAATATTAAATCCACGCTTGCCATTGGTGGAATATCAGGATTAATGAAGTTTACTATACAGTTCATTCCTTTGCTGAAAAAGTCTTATCTACAAACCAGTCAATATATGCAGCTGTGTTAATTGTTCCTTGGTGTTTGTGCTCGCCTGTGAGCCATCTGGACTCGGTAATTCTTCCGGTAGTTTTAATGAGAAGAAATCGCCAATATGACTTGAAAACGAGTTTTACGTAGCGAAACACTCAAGTTGGGCTAATACGTGGCCGTTATCACTAATAACTATGTTATCAGCAGTTACTACTAACGTGTTGTTTGCTTCCGAACCGGAAAGATATTTTACGAGACATCTTAATCTAGACCCCGCACCTATCGCTGGTTTTAGTTCCTCCAAAGACCCTGTTGTGATGACGTTAAAATCATTGGTCAAGACAGATTCCCAAAGTCGTTTTTCGGCAAACCAAGTTGCAGCAACCGTAAGCTGGTTTTCGCTTTTTAATTTATTAGTCCCTACTTCGAATAAAGCTGTGAACATGTTCCCATCAGTTGAAAGTTCGACCCATTTCCAATACCCGTCTGTAAACTTTGTCTGAGTGGAGGTTTCTACCTGACTCAGAAGCTGAGCAGTGGTCCGCCCGTCCGTGTCCATGACAACATTGTCAGCTTCCATGACGTAGGAATTGAACATAATACGGATTCTACAACCAGCAAGAATTTTGGATTTCAATTCTGACGGGTTGTCGGGGGTTTAATATAAACTTTATTTCATT